TTAACGTTACGTTACTTAACGTTAACGTTACGTTACGTTACGTTACTTACGTTACTTACTTACTTACTTACTTACTTACTTACTACTACTCTACTCTCTCTCTCTACTACTCTCTCTCTCTCTCTCTCTCTCTCTCTCTCTCTCTCTCTCTCTCTCTCTCTCTCTCTCTCTCTCTTTCTATTTATGCGTGTCTCCAAAAAAAAAAAAGACAAATTGAATAATACCAAAAACAACTGAAATTTATTTCCATTAATTAAATAACGACTAGTTACAATAATTTACAAACCACTTGAAAGATACAAGGAGGTTAAACACCTAATGAAGTAGGAAAAAACCAGCTACACATGAAGTTTCAAAAAAGGTAACCCAATTGAACTGACTCAACCACCAACAAGTAATTTATTTCTTTTTGCTTTTTCAAGTTTCACTCTTCCATTCGATTGATGCAGCAAAGGCCATCCCCTTTGAGCATGTATTCAAAAGTCTTATTGAACTCTGATAATGGGATTGAATGTGTGATGAACTTCTCCATGTGACATGTACCTTCTTCATGTATTTGTTGACAACAGATGGAATATCAGAATGTGGCTTATAGTTTCCAAAGAATGTTCATTTGAGAGTCCTTTCATTGAGCACATTCATGGGGTGTGTCTTGAACACTGCATCCTTGTGAAGAATCCCAACAAGCACATTTACACTCCACCCCTGATAACAAAATTCCAAACAATAACAGTGTTCAATCAAAATTTTTGTATTTTATGTAATCAAAAGTACACATAAATACATATGCAAAAAGAAAATTATAAAAAGATACCAAAGATTTAAACTATACAACATTCATCCATGGTGTTTAATTTAAGTTGTCGATAGAAGCAAATAGGTAAGCCATACTTACCTTCCATCCATGGATTGGACAGTGGAGGGAGAGAGGGCTGAGGGCCCATCAAACATGTCAGCAAACTTTTTGTATATCTACTATCCTTCCACCACTGTCCAACGCTAAAACTGGATGATGATTACCCTTGTGACCATGGTGTTATCAGGCATATGGATCACACTCTACCTTTATATATGCCTTTCAAAAAAGAGAAGAAAAAGCTATGATATTGATGCACAAAAATTTGTAGCCAGAGATACTACAATAGCAAAGAACAAAAAAATTATGTGTAACAAGTGAAGGAGAAGACCCATTATGTGGTTGGCTAAGATTAGCCAAATATTTAGGCAACATTGAATAAGGATTATAAGCAACCAGAGAATATTAATGACGAAGCATCTTGCACATCCTGAAAATTCACATAAATAGTGAGCAAATCACTATTGTTTGCAAAAAGTTAGGAGGAATCCACTTGCTCTGGAGTTAACATGTGGTCTGGTATATTAATGAGGGGATACTTCTCACTAGATGGGGCCTCAGTTTCCTTCTAAATTAGCAAGATATAATAAAACTAATAATAAATAAAGAAAAAAGACTGCTTAAGAGTGCCAACTGCTTAGTCTTGAGAAAACACAGTGGATGCCCCAGCTGGGTATTGAATACAGTCCACAAGATGTGGTAGGTATCTAATACATAGGATCTGTATTTTATAATATTCACAGGATGTGTAAGGTGTGAATAAAACTACAGTACTTGATCTCCATTGTTTATCTTGAGAACGGATAGTTGATGTCTTGACTATTTATTGTATAGCATACAATAGATGTGAGGTGTACTCTTCCTCCTAAGACGTAATACAGGAAAAAAAGAAAAGAAAAAAAAAGATCCATAATGTTGATGAGGTCCAATGCATTTACCAGCACAGAAATCACAGATTGAAACTGATCCAAAAGACATTCCAGAAGTTCAAGGCACAACTGCAACAATATTGCAAATATGTGAGTAATACTGAACTCATGAACATCAGACAGATACATTATTCTAAATATTGTCAAAGGAGAAGAAGTTTCATGATAAAGGGATAATTTATATTCTAGAAAGGTCTTGGGATAAATGGATCACAAGGCGATCATGTAGTGCTAAAGCCTGCACTTGTGTATTCAACAGGAAAGACTTGGTAAGATTTCTTAGATCGTTGTCTGAGATTGTGCCAGTATGACTCTTTCTTCTCAAAAGTGCCAAACAACCAATAAACGCTCCTCGTAAAGCTTGCCAATCTGCTTGATGGAAAGAATTGAAAATTATGATTCTTGAAGAGGCAAAGAGAAGTAAAACATTTGGAAAAATCACTAAAAATAGATACATAATCCAATATACAGGAGTATCCAATAGACCCAAACAAAGTCATGCTTCCCACATAAGGACATAACTACACTCGAGTGACATGGTTTCTTAATAAAATTGACAAAATCAGAATGTTACATCTGAAGCATGGTAACCTCATACCACAGGTCCAAGGATCAAAACTTGGAGTGTGGCAAAAAAAAAAAAGGTTTCTTTGAAATATTATCTATGTTGACAACTACCTGTGGTCTTCCTGTCAGCACGGCAATTGCCTAAGCATAAGAGGAGGAAGCCATAAAATTTAACTCAAAAGTCACAAAACTTTTACGTGGAGTTTACAGAAACATAACATACTACATCCTAAATTTTTTGGTGATGGTGAAAGTTCTTTCAATTCTGAAATGTCACCCTCTGCAATTCATAATATGCCTGCCATGCCCTTACCAGCATTCTATAAATTAACAATAGTTTTTGAGCTCAGATTCCTTTTTTGTGCTCATATTCAAATGGAACAAACCAACACTTGTCCATGCACAGGATTTTTGAAGCACAAAAATAAGAAATATGAAAGCTTATAATTCTAATATACAATAGCGAAGTTCTAAATGAAGTTATAAGAGAATAGAAAACTTATAATTCTAATATTGACATGGTGAAGTTCTACATGAAGTCATAAGAGAACATACCCAATAGATACCAACACCAACACAAGCATTCAAAGAGCGAATACAAAGTACTATTTCAAACTCACCTGTCGGGATGTGAAGAATTCAGTCAAGCCATGGATTATAGCTCCATCTATCGGCTTTGAAGCAAGATAACTAAGAAGTTCGGCTAAAAGAAGTATGCCTGTAGTGCAATTGTAAAGGTAATTGAATATTTGATGAAAACATACACTGTGATATTACAAACATATAGACCACAAATGACAATATACACAGCCAAAATAATATTGATAAGCTTTCAGAAAATTAAAACCATGGCAACTTAACTCGAATCCCAATATCTTGATAAACTATTGGAAAGTCGAAACTGTCAAGTAAAACACAAAATGGGAATTTGAAATATTATTATAATTAAGGAAACAGGATCGAAAAGGCTACATCTTCAAAGATTGTGTTGAAAGAATGCGTTGAAAAATACAGTGGGCAGATTAATACAAATACACATGAAAGATGTAGCCACACAACCTTATCACGAATACACACCAATTTTGGATTTGATTTTAAAAAATCAGGTGATTTCTTCTCCTATTTTTGGTGATTTATTAGGAAAAAATGTAGGGTTTCATTGAAACTCTTCAATTTGGGATCTACTAAAAAACTTTAAGTTGTTTTTTTTTTTTTAATGGGTTTTATTCTTGATTTGGGATTGGAGTTTATTCAGAGGTCGTAGCTTCGTTTGACCAAAGAAAATCATACAAATGAGGATACAATATAGAGGTCACTCACCCGATTGATGCCGAAAAACTTTGCCCGGTGTGGGTGGCGTATGTTGCTGCCAGAAGCTTCATTGAGATAAAAGAGGGCGATTGAGAGGAGAGCGCAAAGAGGAGAGAGCGAGCAAAAGAGATGCGAACTTTACGGAGCATAAGAGAGGACGACCGAGAGAGAGTCGACCTTTTGCAGAGCAGAGGAGAGGGCGAGCGAAAGAGCGAGACGCTCACGGAGGTTCGCGTGGGAGGGAGGGAACTCATTTATTTCAATTTAAATAGACGATAAACATGGGTAGGCGAAATCACTGTTACTATTCGCCAATAGGCCTTGGGTAGCCATATATATATATATATATATATATATATATGGAGATGATT